GCACCGCAGAAACGAAGCCAAGCTTGTAGCAGGAATACGATTTGGAAGAGCCGAAACAATCAAATGAGGTCAGTGCTACAGCAGAAATTTGATATGCAAGGACTGAGAATTGGAACATGAGCCAACGCTGAAGCGGGAGCGCCATTCTGAAAGGACTGAAAACGCTCGAATGGGAAAAGTACCAATTCATTATCAGTTCGGCGGCATCCTGTGTTGACAAACAATATGCGGAGGATGCCAGGACACCGCCGCCTTCGGGCAAGAGAGGGGAGTAGTACTCGTATTGTGCAACTTTGGAGGAGGAGGATATGGAGATGGAGGAGGAGGAGGAGGAGGAGGAGGAGGAGGAGGATGAGGAGGAGGAGGATATGGAGATGGAGGAGGAGGAGGAGGAGGAGGAGGAGGAGGATGCAGAGAGCGGCGCGAGCGCCCCCAGGCGAGGCTCGACCGCGACCCGGCCGCGGACGCGAGCGCGGCGAGCGTCGCCGCGGACGCCTCCGTGCTCCGCGGGTACCTGCAGGCATCCCCAGAACCCGCCTGGCCCGCCGGGGCTTCCCCCCCCACCGTGAAACCCCGCCTGGGCGATTCACGTGTGTCAGAGCCCCGAATCATCAGGGGTAACTCGGGTCAGGGTTAACTCGGGTTCGTTTTTCGGGAATCCGAACCCGAGTTACCCCGGACCCGAGTTACCCCGGATATTTCGGGCGTCCAGAGCCCCGAATCATCAGGGGTAATTCGGGTCAGGGCTAACTCGGGTTCGTTTTTCGGGAACCCAAACCCGAGTTACCCCGGACCCGAGTTACCCCGGATATTTCGGGCGTCCAGAGCCCCGAATCATCAGGGGTAATTCGGGTCAGGGCTAACTCGGGTTCGTTTTTCGGGAACCCAAACCCGAGTTACCCCGGACCCGAGTTGCCCCGGATAACTCGGGCGTCCAAGTGTGGACGACGATCCATTGAGAGGAAGCGCGTTGCCAAAGAATACCCAGATGTCTTACACATGCTTAGAACATGTTGAAGAACATGTTGAAGAACATGTTTCACATATGTTTAGAACATGTTTCAAACATGTTAAACACATGTTTCATTCAATGATCGGATTGTTAGGGTGTCCATTGTCATGGCATCCGCAACGATTCACGAGGGCTGTTCTTGACTGCGCCCTGATTCTGGATTCGCCGTGCTTTGGTTGATTTTCCGCTTCATGTTGGTGTCGTAAGTGCACCCCAATCGATGCGAAGCAAGTGGGGTGGAATGTCCCACTTCGGAACAGTGAGGCCGATATTTCCGCGTCAGGTTCAGGTTCGGAAGGGGATTAGTGGTTTCTTTGGCCTGCTTGCATTCCCTCGCAGTTTGCCAGGTAGCCCCCTCAGCGTTCCTTCGGTCATGGCGCGCGCGGAGTTGATTCGCCATACGAGGCGGATGATCTAAAGAACAGGGCCCCGAACAGGGGCTAGGTTCCTTGCGCCGCTGCGAAGATACTGTGCCGCGAGTTTGTTTGGCCCGTTACTTGCTGCGCGTGCTTTGAGGCTCATGCGTATAGCAGTATGTACAAGTAGTCACGTTACGGCCCAGTTGTTCGCGCGATGCTCTCGGTCCTGTACGCGACGCGGCGTGCAGTTCACGCGCGTACCCAAATGTACAAGTGGCAACGTTAAGGCATAGTTCCATCGGTTCCTTGCGCGATGCGGTTTGACGCTCGCGCGTATTACCAAATGGACGAGTCGCCACGTAATGGGCCGACTCCTCGCGCGAGCCCCTTCGGTTTTCACCATGCAGGTGTTTGACATGCAGTTGGCCATCCCCTGTTGGTCTTTGTTTTGCGCACGGGAGGGCGCGCACGCCCGCACGCGCGCGCACGTGCGCGCAATAACAAACAGGTTGTCTTACAGTGCGAAGTTACATCTTGAGGCCCCCAGAATGCCGATGAAGTCTGCAGCCAAGCTGGCCACTCTCCGCTGGTCTTCGAGCTGCGCCTGCGGGGGCGCAGTCGGGAGCGGGTGCTGCCTTGCACGCGTCGTCTCGTCCTGGTGCCCTCGGAGTCCTGGCGAGGCATTCGGCCCCCGCCTTCCGGTGGCGGAGCTTCGGTTGGCCACTCCCCACCGATGCCCGCGCTGCGCACGCGAGGGCGCGCGCAGGCAGGCGGGCCCCCGCGGGTCTGCCCCCCCCGGGGCGCCTCCCCGGAGCGCGAGGACAGGAGCCGCCCGCGCCGCGCCCCCGGTGATCCGGAGGTCAGCCAGGGGGGCAGTCGCCCTCGGTCCTGGCACGGGCCCCGTCCTCGCGCGAGCCCCCTCGGTTCCTTGCGCAGCCACCCCCCGAAAGCCAGATATATTTTGTTGTGGTGTCTGGTTGGGTCGTCCGCCTTCCCCGCTGGGGATGAGGACGAAACTCAACCGACGGCAGGGGTAGAGAGAGTGTGAGAGAGAGAGAGTCCTTGCGAGGGGCTCCAGCGCAGACATGAAGCTCGGAGGTTGATGGAGCTCCTGCCCTGACACGTCGATGAGTGAATGGGCCGTTGTGGGTTCGCGAGGGGGCGTCGCGGCCGTCATTTCTGCGGGTCCAGGTCCGTCGGTTTCGGTCCCAGGCCGTGTTCTCTGAGGGGAGGTTCACGAAACGGAGGTGTGTCCACCGCCGAGAAAGCAGGCCTTCGGCAGAGCTCTGGGCCAAGACAGAGAAACAGCGCTTGCCGGCTCCAGAACACACACTGGACCACAGCAGTGACCAGGGGGGCCTCCGGGGCTGTCGTCGTCCGCGCGCCGGGCCTGGCACAGAGAGAGGCCCGGCCGCTCCTCGCGCGGCGCGGGCCGGACGTGCGCGCGCACGCCCGGGAGGAGCAGTGGCTCAGGAGGGGAAAAAGCACACAGACAATTGATCGTCGATCCCCAAGAAAAGATGGGAAAATATGAAAAGTGGGGGGAAGACAGAAGAAACCCAGAAAATGTGAGAAAATATCGGGAAATCCTGTTATTTAATCGCTTCGCTCATTCCGCCGGCCCATATTGTGCCATCGCAGGCGTTTGCTTGCGCGTTCGTGGCCTCTTGGAGCCTCGCTCGGGAGGCCTCCAGGGGGCCTCCTGAGCTCTCGTGACGGTCTCTTGGGGGGCTTTCGGCGGGCTCTTGGCGGTATTTGTTGGTCCTCTTGGGGCCTGGGGCCTGACGTTGTTGGTCCTCTTGGGGCCTCACGGGAGCTTATTGGGGCGTCTTATTTGTGTGTGTCTTTGTTTGTGTGTCCCAGGGCCCCTTCCGTGGCCAAGGCAAGGCCGAGTTCCTCGCGCGGGCCCCGCGGCTCCTCGAGGTCGAGGAGGGTTCAGAGCTGGCCAGGGGGCCGCCGTTGGGGCGCTCGCCCAGCCTGGAGAATAAAACGACGCGAAGATCGGGACAAAATCGGATCGGGACAACTCGAAATCTCTGAGAATCGGCGGGGTTGGAGGATGTATTGGGCGCCGCGGCCGCTCCAGAGCGTTCCAGAACGCTCTGAGAGCGCTCCGGAACGCTCTGGAGCGATTTATCCCGATCCTAGCCCTGTTTTAGAGAATCACACGCGTTCCTCGGGCCGCGCTCGCCGGTGGCGCCCGCCGTGTTTTTTTTTGTTTGTTGGAGCCGCGGGCCCCCGTTCCCCAGGCTTCGGCAGCGGGAGGGGTCCTTTTCAAAGCGAGAGGCAGCGACGAGTGAACGCATCCAAAAGGGGGCCTGCCCGTTTCTTGGAGATTGATGGCTTGATGTTGAAGAAAGGGCTTCGTTCCTGATTTGGCGCTTCCTCTGGCACTGCCACGATTGCATGGCGGAAGCTTTGGCGGCGAAGTGGGGCGGAAATCGGCATCAGAGGAGCTTGCACAGTAACTGGCGGACATTTCCGCCTTGCTTGCGCCATCGTCCAGGATGCACGGCGGATCCGGAGTCGGTGCGTGAGCGATCCAGAACTCTTGTCGGGGGTGGACAGAACCCCCAATAGTGACACGTCGATTAGTGAATTGTCCGTTTTCGGTTTTCGAGAGGGCGCCGTGGCCGTTATTTTCCAGGCTTGCGCCCGCCAGGTTTGGGCCCGAAGTCGTTTTCACTAAACCACGTTTTACTAAAGGGGGATCTGTCCATCCCCGATCTTGAGCAGCCGAGCCACCGCCTGGTCGACTCGACTGCTCCCGCAGAGCCGCGCTCGAGACCCCTCCCGTCGCCGCCGCACTTAAGCCGCCCCAGCCCAACCCGCAGGCCCCGATCCGCCCTCCCTTCCCGGTGGGGGGCGCACCTGCCGGCACGCCCCCTGAGATCCGAGGCTGCGAAACACGTGATGACGGCATCGCGGCAATCTTCGGGCCGGAGCGGCCTGTGACGGCCCCGGGGCCCGAAGGCCGGGCGAAGGCGCCCGGCGCGGAGCGGAGATGCCACGCGGGGATCTCAGGGCTTGGAGCGGAAGAGGGCAGAGGCTGTGGGCGATGTCGGCGCCCCGCGGCCATGGCCAGAGGTCTCCTGTCCTCCAGGGGCCGTCGGGGCAGAGCCGAGTTCTCTCGCCCGTGCGGCCGGGCTGGCGGGGGAGGTTCTGCGCCGGGGTCGGGGGCACCGTTAGGAGGGAGACGGGGTTCTCCTGTTCCTGCTGCTCCTCCTCCTCCTCCTCCTCCTCCTCCTGCTCCTCCTCCTCCTCCTCCTCCTCCTCCTCCTCCTCCTCCTCCTCCTCCTCCTCCTCCTGCGTCAGCAGCCCGTGCCGGCATCGTCATCGTGCTCGCCCACCCCGCCCAGGACCGACGCGGACTCGCCCATCGGGGGCCCAGCGGCGATGCGTCGCCGCCTCCAGCTCGATGTTCCCCCCCCCCCATGCTCCTCCTGCCTCCTCCTGACTCCTCCTCCCTGGCCCCTCCTCCTCTCTTCCTCCTCCCTCCTCCTCCTCTCCTCCCCTCCTCCTGCTCCTCCTCCTCCCTCTCCTCCTCTCCTCCCTCCCTCCTTTCCCCTCCTCCCCCCCTTCCTTCCTCCTGCGCCGCCTCCAGCTCGATGTTTCCCCCCCCACCCCCCCTTGAGCCGGTCCTCCCCTGGCGTTGCCTCTCTAGGGATCGCGCACATGGCGAGCCTGCTCCGCTCGCAGCCACGGCTGGAGCGAGGGCCTGCATTCAGGAGGGGAAGAACGCACAGACACAAATCATCGTCGATTCCCCAGAAAATGTAGGAAAACATGGGAAGTGTGGGGGGAGATAAAAACCTAGAAGATATTGGACAATGTGCGGAATCCGGTTATGCGTGTCTACTTATCTGCGTGTCCCAGGGCCCCTTCATCGATGTTGTCCTTGGAAATGCCGAGGACGTTTTTTTCTTCCGCTTTCAAGGTCGACGCTGTGCTATCTGTTCTGGGCGCAGGTCTCTGGCGCGCTCATGTCTGGGATCGGCCCCTGGCCCACCTGCCCGTGATCATTTTTTGTTGATGTAAAATTGCCGGTTGCTTGACGCCCACTTTCTGGGGTGCCGTTCTATATAACAATGATGATAGTTGTAGTAATAGTCTTAAGACTTACGAGCAAGAGTAGCAATAATATAAATAAGAGCAACAACCATTACCATAGTAAGAATCCGATCGCTTATGATAGAATAATAACGATACTAATAACAAGTTGGTCGAGTCAAGAGCGAAACATGGAGAACATGGACAAGCGCCCCCAGCGTCTTCGAGAGCAGCCGTGTCGTGCGAAGGCCCATCAAGAGACGGCCCAGGACCAAGGACCCAGGGAGGGGTCGAGAGCCACTCTGGGCGGCCTCGCTCCCCGCACGAGAGCACGAGGACTTATTTCTGTCTGGAGGAGGGCCGTTAGGAGGGAAATGGGGTTCTCCTGTTCCTCCTGCTCCTCCTCCTCCTGCTCCTCCTCCTCCTCCTCCTTCTCCTCCTCCTCCTCCTCCACCTCTTCCTTTTCCTCCTCTTCCTCCTCCTCCTCCTCCTCCTCCTCCTCCTCCTCCTCCTCCTCCTCCTGGAGGAGAGCCGCATTTCGATTCGATACCGACTCTGGAGCGCTCCGCTGCGGGCCGCTGCTCGCACGTGCTGCTGTGTATCCCGGCGCCTCCGATGCGAGTCGACTGCGAACTCCGTGCCGATGCGGCCCGATCCGTTTCACGTTCCGATTCGATCCGATTCCTCGAAAAAGAAAAAACGCAATGAACGTAAACGTTTGGGGCTCCGCGCGGATTTCTTGGATCCGCTCTGGGCCCCCCCTGGCGGCGCCTCCGGCGCAGCCCCTGGCGCGCTCCGCGCGCCAGGGAGGGGTGTCCAACGCAGATCCAAGGAATCTGCGCGGAGCGCCAAAAGTTTATGCGCATGTCGTTTTTTCGTCTTCTAACTTCCTGATTAGATGCTGGCTGATCCTGCGGCTGTAGTCAGACCTCCAGGACAAGGTCGACATTGCTTCTACCGAGAGGGGATCGATGATCTTTGGGTCCTTTCACGGGTCTTCCCCCTGGCGTTATTTGCGCATTTTGGGCGCAATCGAGGGTTCCGCTCTTTGAGCGAACTCGTCAAATGTCAAACCTACGACTGCAGATCCACATCGGTCCTCCCCCTCCCCGCTTTCCAGGGAGGGAGAGAGCAATCCGAGGGGCTGGGGAGGGAGGAGATATGAGGCCAGGTCTGCACGGAAGCTCGGCTCCTGTTTGAAGACGAGTGATCGGGCCGCCTGGGCCCCTGGCAGCGCACGGCCTCGAAAACCCTGTCCAGTCGGCGACGGCGTGAGCAGGCGCCGTCGGTGGCCCAGGGCACTTCGCTGGGGACGCTCTCTCCTCCTCCTCCTCCTCCTCCTCCTCCCTCCTCCTCCTCCTCCTCCTCCTCCTCCTCCTCCTCCTCCTCCTCCTCCTCCTCCTCCTCCTCCTCCTCCTCCTCCTCCGCCTCCCATGGTCGGAGCTCTTAGCCCAGCGTGCCGCTCCGCCGGTTCTGGCCCACCACGCCTCGGCGCGGCACGCTATCCATTTCGTGGTCTCCAGGCGTCCACGTGCCGGGCTTCTCCCTGCCTCCCGTCCCGCGGAGCGGAGCGACATGCCATCCGCGTGCAAGGCATACCGTGTCGCCGGGGCCGCCGCCGCGACACGCTCAGCAAAGATCTTGACCGTAGGAGCTTGGCTTTCATCTTGGAATCGGCGGGGGGTCTGAGGTGGCACACTACTGGTCCCGGCCAGCAGGAAGGGAGGTGAGGTTCGAGGTTCTGGGTTCGGGAAGGTTTTTGCCTTTCTCGGTCTCCAGGGGGCCATTTTCTGGCCCCAGAGCCGTCAAACGCGGATCTGGGGTGAAACATTGCACCCCTGGAGAGTTCCGGGCACCGATTCTGAGCGGATTCGTTTTCTCCCCCCTCCCCCCTGAATCGTTTTCTCGGGGCCCACGCAGCTCGGACCTCACGGCTGCTTCCGATTGTCATCACTCGAAGACCGAAGTCACCCCCTAGGGGCGGCCGAAAGAGGTCGGACGACCAGGGCGCCAAGGGGCGTCAAGTCCCCCCCGAAGGGCGCTAAGGCGCCGTCGGACCGAGGCATCAGATCGAGGTCGGTTCGGGGAGGGCACCCAGATGTGCTTCGTGTCTGTTGGATGCCCTCGTGCATCCTGGGAGAGGGCACCCTCGAACGTTCTTCAGTCTGGCTGGCGGAGGTACCCACGTTTTTCGAGGAGGTTCCTGTGTCCCAGGTCCGACCGTCGTGGCCGAGTGGCGCTTCGCGCGTCGCGATCCGGGCTGGCGCGGCTGCCCGCCTCCGAGGGGGGGGGGGGGGCGGCGCGGGGGCGCGAGGGCGCGAGGATGGTCGCGCGTTGCGCATCGCGGGGCGCGGGGCGCGAGCTTGGACGACCGAGAGCGGGGCATGGCGCCCACACGCCGGTCGTGGAACGTATAGGTAGTTCTGGACTCCCAGATCCCGATCTGCTTCAGGCGCCCTCCTACTGCAAGGACCGATGTGCTCTTGCTGTGTGCTTGTTCTTCTCCTGGACCCAGGATGCGCTTTCCGACTTCTGCTTCATGTTTTTACCTGCCTCCTCCGACCAACGAGTAATCCAGCGTTCGACGACGACCTCCACCTCCTCCTCGCCCCGAGGTGTGCGGCGAGGGTGCCGCAGTGGCCCGCCGCCCGCTTCCCGCCGACTGCCCCATCTGCTTCGAGGACTCGCCCCCCCCCCCACCCCCTGGCCTCTGGCTCCTCTGCCCGTCCGCCGCCCCCACCACGCCATGCCGCAACGCCCCCCGCCTTGGCATCCCCCCCAACCCATCCCTGCATCCATCCCCTCTTCCCCATTGTCCCAGCCCCTCCGCCTTCCATCCCCCCTCCCCCATCTCGCCATCCTCCTCCTCCTCCCTCTCCTCCCCCTCCCCTCCTCCTCCTCCTCCTCCTCCTCTCCTCCTCCTCTCACTCCTCCTCCTCCTCCTCCTCCTCCCTCCTCCTCCTCCTCCTCCTCCATCCTCCTCCTCCTCCTCCTGCTGCCTCCTCCGTCCCCCCACCCCCCGCCTTGCGTCCCCCCCCATCCCTGTATCCATCCCCCTTCTCCCCACGTCCCCCTCCTCCTTCCCGCATCCCTCGCCGCTCCCTCCTTCCCTCCCTCCCCTACTTTCTTTATCCGCCGTGCCTCATCACCCGTGGCATAGATGGTCAGTTTCCACTTATCGCGAATTCAGACATTTACGGTGTTAGAGTTATTCGCATCGTCTTTTAATCTTCGGTCCTTCCAGCTCCACCTGTATTTCCTTCTCCTACTCAGGAGCTCTTGTCGTCGATATATATATATATATATATATATAAGCGATATGGCGCCGAACCACACTTCAGCATCCACAGTGTAGTGACAGCGTTGCAGTTCTGAAGTTGAGCAGTACCTCACCACATTGAAGTTTAAGAGCTCTTGAGCACGGCAAGAACCGCAAAGCATATCGCGAAGTGCCCGTAATTGAATCGTGCGCCTAGTAAGCTACAATACAATGCTCAGGAGCAGTTGGACACGATATACCCCAACGCGGTGACACCTCGATTTGAGTACCGCGAGTGCCGGGCGGAGTCCAGACATGGTGTGCTTCAAAGTTATTGTTCGATGATCCAGCGGTGTGCTCCAGAGAGTACACGACGGGGCATTGAAATAAAACCCGCCAAGACAAGTCAATGCAGGATTTTCGCATCGATTCGTTAGACATTGGCATTCGCGCTGTGCAAGTGCAGGGCCCCGTCAGTTTGGCTACTCGGCGTGTGTTTCGCCAGGTACCAGTTTTACGCGTCGATCGGTGATGTCGCTCGGGCGCACTCGGCGCAGGAGTCGGTGAGCTGGTCGGCCTGCTGCTCTTCCGCCTGCTCCTCCTCCTTCCTGGCCTGGTGGCGGGAGGCGGCGATGCCGGGCTCAGCCGGCTCGTCCTCCTCGCCGTTGAAGTCGTCCTCGCTCCTCTCCTCCCCGCTGCCCTCCGCCGGGTCCTCCTTCCAGCCGTCCGGTGCCGTCCCTGTCGGCCGGCTGCGCGCGCGGCGTGCGGGGCGGAGGCATGGGGACCACATCGGACCTCTGGGTGGGGCCTCGGGCCGGGCCCGGGGTCGGACGTGGGGCGGGCCGTGGGGCCGGGGGGTGGCGCCCCGGGCGCGGCGTCGGGCTTGGCGTGGGGCGTCCCGGGCGGGTCGTCCGCCTGGGGCGCCGGCCTGGGGCGTCTGGAGCAGGCGGGGGTGTCGGAGGCCGCCGCTGCTCGCCGCGCAGCTCGTACTTGCGCCGTCGCCCTGCTGCTTGCCCCGTGCATGCCCGAGCCCGCCGCTGCGCGGCAGGAGGCGGAGGAGAGAAGGAGGAGGAGGAGGAGGAGGAGGAGGAGGAGGAGGAGGAGGTCCGTAGCCATTTTGGCTCAAGGCTAAACGTTGTGAAGGGCTATAAACGCCCGAGAATCAGCGATTAGCTTTGGCCCGTCCGGGGCCATCTCTCAGGCCGCCGCAGGCCACGGCGTTCTCCACCCACAGCCCCTCCGTCGTTTTGGGCGCCTTCGGCTACCTGCGTAGCCAGAGCGAACGATGGCTGGTGCAAGCAATAGTGGACTTTTCGCTCTGCTCGAGGCAGCGCCGACGTTCCCGTCCCAGGAAGGGGTCGCAGGTGCCGCAGCTGCTGCTCAAACTCAGGGACGTGGTGGCCGTGTTCGCCCAGGTACTGGTGATTCTGGCACTCCTCAGCGTGGTCGTGGGGGCCCCCGTGACGACGACAGAAGCCGCTCACAGTCCTTCGAGGATGCCATGGAGTCAGATGACCTCAAGCAGTATGGGACGACACAAAGAAGGAGCTTCTTCAGGCCATCTCAGCTATTTCCACAAACGTCGGCTCCCTTGGCAAGCTGGTCAACGACTCCGTCGGTGGCCTCAGCAGACAAGTGGAAGCACGTATGTCAGGACTCGAACGCACACAACGTGAGCAGAAAGACGAGATGGCACGTATGTCGGCAAAGATTACCCGCCTGGAAGAGATTCTGGGGATCATGCAGAAGGAGGTACCACAGGCGGTGGTGGACCCCTCCTCGAACGAATTCGATCGCCAGCCAGACCCCACGATTCTCGTCATCAGGTGTAAGAGTTACTCGACCAAGGAGTCAGTCGCAGAGTCCGTGGTCAAACCTATCATTGAAAATAACAATATTCCTCACAGCGAGGTGCAATTTGAAGGAGACCCCGCTGGAAAGAGATTTGTGCTCCGCATCAAGGGATCTCCAGCGTACGCAGCCCGTCGAGTGGGACAAATTATCGGCAGCTTCAAGATTAGTGCGCAGGAGTGGCAACGATTCAGCGCGATGGACTCCCAGGACACTCCTTCTGAGGTCTTTGTGTCGGTTGACAAGTCGCAGGCTCAAGTCAAGCGCGAGATCGTCGCAAAGCAGTTCAAGCGCGTGCTTTCAGAACTATATCCGCAGCATCACTTCCACATTAACAAGGCGAAGGGCGAGGTCAGCCTGCAATGGAAGCCCCTGCTCCGCGGCGTTCCTGCTCAGGGCAACGAGGTGCCGACGATCGAGTACGCCGATGTCAATTTGCAGCACTTCAACTTCAGTCGCACAGACATCGAGGCCAAGGTGGCGCAGGTTGTGCGACCGCCTGAGCCTGTCTCGTGGCGGGTTTAACCCGCTCTTTTCGGCATGGAGCGGTTCCTCTTCCTCGGCCTCCCCTCTCTCGTTCTGCTCCTGGAATGCCCAAGCTCTGTTCCACCATAAGCAGAAGATCAAGGACCGCAAAATCCGCTACGCTAAGTCTCTCCTGGGACCTGGTACCATCTTGGGGATTCAGGAGTCTCACGGGTCAGAGGCTGAAATCAAGGATATGCTGTTCCACATGCATCGCCCGTTCCAGGCGTTCTTCTCTCTTTTTCTTGTCTCTGCTCATCCAGCTGGCGGGGTGATTACCATCTTGCCAGATTTCAACAAGACTCACGGTGCTGCGAGGCGCCCAGTAGTCACTCCGATTGAGCTTGTCAGGGGCCGTGCGGTGAATGTTCGAGCTTTGTTCCCAAATGGTGTTTGGGTATCGCATTTCAACATTCATAATCACGGATTGACGTCGGCCCAGAGAAACTACATCCGAGAGACTATCAACGTGGACTACAGCAAGGCCTCGGAGGACCCCCTGAAAGGCTTCATCCTCGTAGGTGGCGACTTCAATTTCTCGGACGAGCCCCCGAAGGCGCTAGATGACCTATCCCTCTCCAAGCTTGGTATTGCCCTCTCTCAGGACCCAGAGAAGATCCCCTCCCAGGACCCCGATAAGCACTCGTCCCAGCCCATCCGCTCTGGAGGCCCCTGGAAGGCCACTCTCAAGAAGCTCGTCGAAATCGACCCTGGGGGCCCGACTCATTTCTGCGCCGCGCGGGGGGGCTCTCGGGAAACTGGATAGGTTATTCGTGTCAGCGCCAGGATGGTGCATCACCCAGATGCGCACGGGTGCTCGCGTCCACGGGTACCCCGAGGTGCTTGCTAAGACAAAGCTGTCCGACCATGCTGCGATCAGCGCGATCCTCACACCTTGCTCTCAGACGCCGCCTAAGGATCGACGAATCCATCAATATATCTTCAAGCGGCGCGAGTACCAGCAATTTATTGAGTCCGTGCTGGCACAGATAGACGATCGTGTTCTCTCTCCACCTCTCCGACTCCTCTTTCACAAAGATCTCATGTTCGAAGCTGCCCGCCACGCTCGTAATCGACTTCTCACTGGTAAACCTCACGATCCTCTCTCTCGTTATGTAGCGTGCCGCGCTATCGCCAGAGCAGTTTGGAACCAGGACGTGGCGCTGGCCAGGCGCATTGCATTGTCGCACCCCTTCGGCCGCAAGTTTATCAGCCTAGATGTTATGCAGCAGAGCGTGAGCATCACTGACCCGATCAGGTTTCACGCTGAGGCGAACGAGGCCAACTTGGCAATGTTCCACTCGGCACAAGCAGATGCCAGACAGCGACTTCAAGGTGATCCCCCGACCCTCGAGCGGGCCAAATTGGCCAAGCGCATCAAAAGCCTTCAGATTCGGGCTCGTCTTTGGTCTTCTTTCGATAGAAAGCTCCCGCTGCAGGGCCTCAGGACGGACCAGGACACGGTCACCTCGAAGCCGAACGAGATTTTGTCAGGTCTGGCTCAGCATTGGGGTCCAGTTTTTGCGAAGTCGAAGATCGACAAGCCTGCCGCCTTCCAGTGCGCCCAGAGATTCAAGCCAAGCATCGATCTTTCAGGGCTGCCGCCACCTTCGGAAGCTAGTATTGTTCGTTTCCTGGGCAGGGTTTCGCCGGGCGCGCCTGGACCAGATGGCCTGCCTTACTGGGCCTGGAAATTTCACCCCGAGGGCCCGAAGGTTTTGTGCAGTACGTTGGACTGGAACCTGGCTGGCAACCCTCCCCTCTTCGGTTTCAACCAGATGCTTGGCGCTTTCTTGGTCAAGGGCTCTGAGCCCGAGGATAACGACAAAGTGATCCGAGATGCCAGTGGAACCCGCCCCCTGGGACTAAAGAACACTGACTGCAAGATCTCAACCTCGGCGGTCATACAGCCTCTGACGCGGGCTCCCCCAGGATTCATGCATCAGGCCCAGAGGGGCTTCGTGCCCAAGCGAAATTTCGGGGACAACATAATAGAGCTCGACACCGAGGCACGAATCACTTCGATGATGCCAGATTGCACTTCCAGGCTCCCTGCTCTTCTCTCTTTCGACTACGGCCAGGCCTTCCCCTCCATCTCCCAGCACTGGATCTTCCTCATCCTGAAATCGCTCAACCTCCCCCAGCCCCTCTTCGAGTTTCTGGAGTTTATTTACACGCAGGTCGCGTGCTACGGCCAGCTCGGGCAGTGCATGATATTCCTTTACCTCGTCGAGTCGGGGATTGTCCAAGGGTGTCCTGCGAGCGGGACCTTATATGCGGCGGCGTCTCATCCTTTCGTCGAACACTTCGAAACCCTCCTCGAGAAGAAGCAGCTGGGCCTTGTGAGGGCCTGCGCGGACGATAAAGGCAGTGCGATTCGAGATCTGACCGCCCTCAGAAAATTATATGCGGTTTTTCGGGCTTCGAAACGGGTGGCCAACCTAACCCTCAAACTGAGTAAATGTAAACTAGTGCCATTAAGCGGACCCTTCTCGGAGGCAGTCGCTTGGACTTATAAGAATTGGATCAATCAGCACTTGCCCGAGTGGTCAGATATATGCATAGTACCCAAGCTGCTCGACTTAGGAGTCTTTCTTGGTCCTGCTGCGCCCCCCTCGTCCTGGGATGCACCCATGACCAAATGGGCGAAACGCTCGTTCAGCATAGCCCAGTCAGGAGCGCCCGCAGCTATCGCCACCACATTATACGACTCGCGTGCTCTCTCCTGTTTGGGGTACATCGCTCAGTTCTGTCGGATTCCCAAGACAGTGCTTCCGAAAGAGCATGCTATTTTCGCTTCGATTTTAAAGATGCCGCACTGCTCGCTGTCTCGTCAGGCGTTCTTCTCTCTCGAAAGCTGGGGCGGCCCTCGCCTCAGAAGTGCTCTAGTGCTCAACCTGGCGACGCTCATGCGAGCGTCCGTTAGCACGTTCTCTGTTTGGCGGTCTTGCGTTGCTCGTCTCTCGGAGGCGGGGTCAGAGCTTCCCCTTGAAGATATAAGTAGAGGCCGCCGCTGCCCAGAATTCTGGACAGAGCCCCCGATCTGCGACACCTTGCATGCAGCGTCGACAGGTTTCAGCAACGATCCGCATTTTGCGAAGGCTGGCCGCCGTGCTTTACAGTGTGCACTGGAGGCCCAGCGTGAGGGCAAGAAGATCCAGCGTGCCGCTGCCGAGAGCCTCAAGTCTTCCCTCTTTCCCCCCTCGCTCGCTCCGACGTTCCGAGCCCGTCTCGCCCACCTCCTCCCCAATGTTCCGACAAGGCAGTTGGACGCGATCTGTTGGCCGCAGGTCAAGACTGTAGTATTGTCTCTTCCTCCTGCTTGGAGGCAAGCTGTGCTGAAAACACTCGCTGGAGCCTGGGCTACTCAATCGCGATTCCAGCAGTGTCAGAGATGTATGTTCGGGTGCGCAGCTGGTTTAGACTCCCAGGGCCACTACCTTGTCTGTCCTCGGTTTTGGGGGTTATTACAGGAGTTTCACGGCCACCCGTTTCCAGAATGCCCCATTCACCGATTAGGCCTCCGTCACCCCGCAGCTGAATCCTTGAAGATAATTGTCTCAGCTTTTTACTTTTTTACTCTCGCCCATGTCGAACCCCACCCTCTCTCTCGGGATGCCGCCCTCGCCCTCCTTCCCCAGCTCCGTTCATCTCTTAATCATACTGTCCCCGCATCGCGCCCGCATACGGCTACACCGTGTGCCAGCCGCCCTGCGGCTTCTGCAAGGCCGCCCCGCCCGTACAGGAGTGGGAGCAGCAGTAGCAGTAGTTCCAGCAGTAGCAGCAGTAGTGGCAGTGGATAAGACCGTGCTCGCCGTGGTACGAGCGCAGGAGGAGGAGGAGGAGGAGGAGGAGGAGGAGGAGGAGGAGGAGGAGGAGGAGGGGGAGGAGGAGGAGGAGGAGGAGGAGGAGGAGGAGGGAGGAGGAGGAGGAGGAGGAGGAGGAGGAGGAGGAGGAGGAGGAGGAGGAGGAGGAGGGGGAGGAGGAGGAGGAGGAGGAGGAGGAGGAGGAGGAGGAGGAGGAGGAAGAGGGAGGGAGGAGCAGGAGGAGGAGGAGGAGGAGGGAAGGATGGGAACGGAGGAATGGACGAATGGAGGAATGGAGGAGGCGGGCGAGCGCGAGCCGCCAGTGGCCGCGCCCCCGCGCGCAGGAGATGCAGGCCGAGACGCCCGCCGCGGCTGCTGCGGGGGCGCGGGAGGCGCCGCGGGAGGGGCGGGGGGTGCCTCCGTCCCCCGTGCATCTTTCCTTCGCTCCGCTTGCGGAGGGCCCCCCGGAGGGCCAACAGGCGTGCAGGGGGGGGCCCTCGAAGGCCCTCTCCGTCGAGCACCCGCCCTCGAGGACCCTCGGAAGACCAGCCGCGGCGAGGAGAGTGCCCCAAGAGGCCCGAGAAGCAGCAGAAGGACCTCCCCCTGACTCGTGCTCCTCCTCCTCCTCCTCCTCATCATCCTCCTGCTCCTGCTCCTCCTCCTCCTCCTCCTCCTCCTCCCTCCTCCTCCTCCTCGTATGCTCCTCCTCCTCCTCCTCCTCTTCCTCCTCCTCCTCCTGCTCCTGCTCCTGCTCCTCCTCTCCTCCTCCTCCTCCTCCTCCTGCCTCCTCCTCTCTCCTCCTCCTCCTCCTCCTCCTGCTGCTCCTCCTCCTCCTCCTCCTCCTCCTCCTCCCTCCTCTCCCCTCCGCCTCCATTATCCCTTCCTGTCCTCCTCCTCCTCCCTCCTCCTCCTCCTCCTCTCTCCCTCCTCCTCCTCCTCCTCCTTGCTCCTCCTCCTCCTCCTCCTGCTCCTCCTCCTCCTCCTTCTCCTTCTCCACCTCCGTGTCCTCCTCCTCCTCTTTCTCCTCCTCATCCTCCTCATCCTCCTCGTCCTCATCCTCATCCTCATCCTCCTTTTCCTTCTCCTTGTCTTTCTCCTTCTCGTTCTCCTCCCTCATCATCCTATGTGATTTCAGATCTGCAACCCGAGGGGTCCCCAACCCCTCCCCTGGGGTCAGCTGTGGGCCCCGGGTCGGTGGGGGCCACGACCTCTACTGAAGCCTGCGGGCTGCTGAGCACTCCTGTCGTCGAAGATCTGCGTCGACCGGACCTCGATCTGGGTCGATCGGACGAGGATGCGGCGGCGACGCCGACCAGGCGGCAGCGCAGGCGGCGGAGCGCTGCACCGGGTGGGCCTCCGCTCGGGGTGCCTTCCGATTCGGCCCCGAGGCCCAGGTGGAGTTCTGCGGCACCTGCGGCCACAACGTCCACGCGGACTGCCGCGGGCGCTGGGCCGCCGCCTCCCCGAGCGGCGACGCTTGCCCGCTGTGCCGCAGCCCGTGGGGCAAGGCGCCGCCGCCGCCGCGCCGCGCCGCGCCGCCGCCGCCGCCCGGAGGCCTCCGAGAGCCCTGCGTCCTCCGAGGAGGCCTGCCGGGAGGCCCTCGGCGCGAGCCCCCCCCTCGAGGGCCACGGGGGCAGCGACTCTTGCCCTCTCACCTCGGGCGGACCCCCCCCCCGCAGCGGCGCCTCGTCGGGAGCTCCTCGGGGGCGCCCGGCTCGCCCCGAGCGGCAGCCGCGGAGGCCCGAGCGCTCTGGCGCCCGCGGAGGGGGCACGCCGAGGAGCACGGGCAGGGGAGCCACTACTGGGGGAGCTGTGGTCCTTACCCCCCCTGGGGGACCCATCGGTTTCGACACCCCTCTCGAGAGATCGTCGATGCTATGGGTTCCCCCAGGGGGGTAAGGACCACAGCTCCCCCAGTTGTGGCTGGTCGGACGGGGGGGGGGGCCCGGCCAGGCGGCGCCTCGCGCCGCGCAGCCCGCCGCCGCGAGGCGGGAGGCCTTCGAGGGCCCCGCGCCCCAGGGGCCTCTCGGCCCGCAGCACCCTCCCCCTGGCATCGCTCGGGCGCGTGTGTGCTCTTTGTTTTTGTTGAGAGATTTGTTTCCTCGGCGGGGGCTCCCTGGAGGGGCAGCCTGGAGCATCCTGCGGAAGTGCAGGGGCGCACGAGGCCGAGAGATGCGCGGGTGCGGGGCGTCCGAGCGTTGCCGAGGCCCCCCTCGCGTCCCCTGCCCGTTTTTCCGCTCGCACTCTCCCGCCTCTCCGCTCCGCCTCCTGCCCCCCCCCCCGACAGCGACTGCGCGAATACACTCAAGTCAGGCCTGTCCCTCTACAGGGGGAATACTCCACAATGGTCCAAGAATAGTCAGGGGACGATTGTCTGATTGTTTTTTGCTCATTCGGGGGGTATCTTTTGATTTTCGCCCGACTTAAGAATACGGTAGGTTCGCGTCGTGTCGACCAGCGGCGACCCCAGCGCGGGCGTTCAAGGTTGAACGCCGCCGGCGGCCCAGAATCAGTCGATGTTGAACGATTGGACGTTGCGGAAATGGCCGATCGTTCAAGGTTGAACGATCCCTGCGGTGTCAAAAACCAACGCAGGGGTCGACACGACACGAACCTGCCGTACAGTCTCCGCGCCTAGTAAGGACGCGCGCCTTCATCTACGGTAGGTTCGCGTCGTGTCGACCGGCGGCGGCCCCGCCGCTGGCGTTCCGCGTGGAACGCCGGCGGCGGCCCAGAGCCGCGGCCGATGCCGAACGATCTTCGGAAGCGGCCGACCTCCTCCTCCTCCTCCTCCTCCTCCTCCTCCTCCTCCTCCTCCTCCTCCTCCTCCTCCTCCTCCTCCTCCTCCTCCTCCTCCTCCGATCAAGGTTGAACGATCCCCGCGGTGTCAGAAACCAACGCCGGGGTCGACACGACACGAACCCGCCGTAGCGTACCCTTGTGCCCTTGCCTTTGCGGCCCGTCGTTTGCCGTTTTCACGAGTCGCCCGCCGCCCAGGAACTTCCAGCTTCGGCCCCCAAGGGTCTTGCGTCCTGAGCACCCGTCCTTAGGACACGTTTTGACAGTATCCCCCTATCCGTTTTCCCGTTCGCACTCTCCCGCCTCTCCGCTCCGCCTCCGCCTCCCCCCTCCCCGACATCCGACTGCGCGAGGGTTTGGCCGCTTTCGGCCTCCCGGGGTCCTCGCCGGGCCCCGGGGCCGGCACAGAGCGGGGGATGCAGGGCTGGTCCTGGGGAAATTGTCGGGGCTTCTGGGGGGCCCGTATGGGACAAGGCAGGACACCAGACGAGTTCTGGGAGAGCGTTCCGGAGCGCTCTGGAAGAGCCGCGGCGGTCGACGCGTCCTCCAGAGCCGCCGGATCTCAGAGATCCTGGATTTCGTCCCAGTCCAGTTCTGTCCTAGCCCTGCTTTCGTCTCGACCCGGCTCCACGCGGCGGCGCGATGCCGTGGAGATCGTCGCGCGGCACGCGCTGCGAAGGTTGGGTGGCCCAAGGCGATCCGGTGGCATTCTGCGCTTCGACGGCCTAGTGGTCTGGATCCTGGAGTAGTTGACCACTGCTCGCGAGCGGTGTCCGTATTTCAGCTTTTCTTGGCGCCAGGTGTATCATCATGATATATTCATTATGCTTATTGGTTTGCCTCTTTTCACTTATCTTCTGCATCTTCTTCTTAGTCGTATTGCCATGGTTATTGCTGCTATTATTCAGAGCGTGAATTACCTACCCCGCTTTCGCTTCCAGGCAAAACCAAGTCATACCACGCGCCTCCTCGCCAAGCGGCCTGACCAGTACAGGTCGTAGTTTGGCATCGTTTGGTATCTGTTGGAAGCGAGGGTGGTCAAAAGCGAGGTAGGTTTGTTTTCCCCCTAATTATGGTTCTCCTTCGCAAGCACGGCAAAAGAAGCAGTGGACCCTCCCCAGGCGGCCGCGGTGGACCCCGCGGGGGGGCCCATCAACCTGGCCGCCTACTCCTCGGAGCATCGCGGCGTGTCCCTTGCGGCACTGTACCCGGAGACGCACCGCTGGATCCGCAGGCCCTGGGCCGCCCAGATGGGCTCCGACTGGATGTCTGGACGCCCGACATGGGCACCGAAAGAATGGGTACAATGCCCAACAGCAGTTCCTGTTCATTTTGAACAGGCCTCGCTGTCCACGCCGCCGCGGCCTGTGTCCATTCGAGACAGGAGGCCGCCTGCCCAACAGCGGCCGCTGTTGGTTTGGGACAACATTTGTTGTTGGGCATCGTACCCATTTTTTCGGTACCCATGTCGGGCGTCCAAAGGATGGAGTCGGAGGATCGCGCCGCAGCGCCGACGCATCGGAGATGCGGCTCGACGTGGAGCCTGATTTTCTCCGCGCCGACGTCGCCGATGCATCGCCGATGCATCGCCGACGCCGCCAGAGCATCGCCGAAGCGTCGCCGATGCATGGGCGAGGCGGTTCCATCCCCCGACCCCATCTACTGGGACCCCATCTGGGAGGCCCCTGGAGGCGGGGCTCCGAGCACTGAGCCGATCGGGCAGCGCCAAGCACGGGGTCACCACTGGCGGGGTCGTCGGTTTGCTTCCCCCGACGTGCGCGATTCGTGAAGCAAATCACGGCGGGAGGTTTTTGTTCAGCTGTTTGCCGTGAGCGCTAGGCTTTCTCGGCCCCCACAGATGTGTGCGCTCCCTCTGTCTGTTCCTGCCCTTGCTCTGCTCTGGTCTGCCCTTGCTCTGCCCTGCTCTGCTCTGCTCTACTCTGCTCTGCTCTGCTCTGCTCTGCTCTGCTCTGCTCTGCTCTCTCTCTCTCTCTCGATTTCTTTCCCTACCCCACCGAGGGCTCAGGCCTCTCTGGGCCAAGCCGGGGGTCCCCGGAGGGCCCACGAGAGCCCGGGAGCACTCAGAAGTGGGCGCCTGGCGCGCGATGTCGCGTCGCGGGGCGCCTGCAGGTTGCCGGGCGGTGGGCGCACAGCCCTTGCCGGCCGCCGCGGCTGCCTGGCGAGGAGGGGCCAGCCGCTGCGCGGCAGCGGCGCCTGCCCGCCGCGCAGCGCTGCTGGCCACGTACCGCCTCGCCGGCCTGGCGAAGGCGGGGGGGCCAGCCGGGCCCACCAGCTCGCCGGGCGGCTGGCTGGCTGCTGGTGATCGGGCTCCTCGGCGGTGCGCCGCCGGTCGGCGCGGCCGGTCGACTTGGCAGAGATATCTAACTTAGCATCTTAGTTATATCTATACTTATAACCACCACAAGTATTGCACATGCACACATGAGATGCGCGATCTACAAGTGTATGTTCTATGGCTTAACTAAGATGAACGCTCTTACCGCGCTTACAGCCACCCGACGATCAAAGCAGCCTCCACCGGCGGCGCCATGCGGGCGTTATGCTCGTTCGCGCACGACGAGCCGGAGGTGCCCGTGGACTTCGAGGGCGAGGGGCCAAGCGAGGTCGGGCCGCCGCTGGTGGGGGTGTCCCCGCCGGGCGAGCCGCCCGGAACGCTGGCCCCCCGCGTGGGGAGGGATGCTAATCGGCCCCGCCTCCAGACCGCAGCCCCAGAAGTCTCCTGGATAGGGGGCTGGGGAACCTGGATTCTGAGTTGGGAATCCCTTGGCGACCAGACCTGGTCCTGGAGAGCGGAAAGGGGTCAGGGGTTGGGCTTCCGAAAAAGTCGAGAATCTCAGGGACGCCTCCGCAATCCGGAGGGAAACAGGTTAGCTCTCCAAGGACGGAGGCTGGCTGCTCCACTTCACCAACTACGGAGGCGCGTGCTGCTTCAGCGCGGTCTGGCCCTTCGTCGTGGCGCTCGGGCTCGCGCTCTGCTTCGCGGGCGTAGTGGGCTGTGTCGCCCACAGCTTGCGCGCGCGCTCTTCGCCCTGTGCAGCTGGTGCGTCTGGGTGCTCAGCAGTATCTGCAGCATCGCCAGGTGCGCTCGGCTCTCGCCGCTCGCCAGGTGTGGCGGAAGTCGATGAGCTTCTGCCGCCGGCGGCGCTCCAGCCTACCGCAGCGGTCTGGGCGGGGCACAGCACGGGCGCAACGACCACCGCAGAGTCCTTCGCCAAGACGGTCCTGGGCGTGGGACAAGCCGAAAGCTCAACGATTTCCCTTTGCGGATTGACGGGCACGCCGCCTGCCTCCGCGTCGACCTACAGGCCGCGCGTCGCACCGACCAGTCGGGCCGCTGGACCAACTGCGTCGCGGTGAAGGGGGTCAGCCCGCGCGCCCCGCGACGACGACTCGAGCTGGCCGCGCCCCAGAGAGTCCACTGCGATCGATCGAGCGGCTGCACTTGATCAAGGACGCGGACATCCACAGTCAGGAGCAGTTGCGCCGCCCTCGACCCCGGGGCCATCGTCGACGCGGGCGCCCGCGCCCAGCTCACCGTCTGCCTGGGGCTGGACGTCGCGTGACACTCCTTCGCCCGTGGGCCCGCCCCCTCTGGCGCGGCACCCCGCTCCTCGGGCGCGCGCTCCGTCCGGCGTTGCCGCTGGCGCCGCCGCCGTCGCACAGCGGTTGGCGATGCGGGGTCCGGCGCCTGGATCGCCAAGATCAGATCGTCGTCGTCGTCGCCGTCGTCGTCGTCGCCGTCGCCGTCGCCGTCGTCGCTGTCGTCGGGCTCGCGAGGAGGCGCCAGGCCCGCGGCTGCGGCCCCGCGCGGCGGCGGCGCCGCCGCCGAGGAGGGCGAGGCCGCCCCCGGCCCGGCGGCGCAGGCGGCGCCCCGTGGCGGCGCCCCACGCGACTGGACTTGCTGACCCGGACCAAGAGTCCGAGTCAGCAGAGATCTCGAGCCAGATGATCGCCCCTGCGAGGCCGAAGGGGGCGGAGTTGCCTTCGGAGTGGCCGGCCGGGACTGGCTGCGACGACGCTGCCCGGCTCGCGCCGAGGGGCGCAGGGGAGCGCCTGCCGGGCCTGCCTCGTTGCGATCAGTTCGACCGGCCATGCCGGGCAACGCGGCCCAAGGACAAGCGCCCCCAGTCAACCTTCTACTGGGAGGCCGCTGGGCCTTCCTCAGGAGTGCCTCTTGGCCTCGCCCATCTGGAAGGAGAAGCGGGCCGCGCAGCGGCGGCTCCGCCCCCGCTGCGCCGCCCGCGGCCGCAGCCCAGCCGCCCAGTCGCCCCCTGCGCCGCCGACGCCCCAGGCGGCGCCCCAAGGAGCCCCCCCCCCGAGGGCCACGGCGCCGACGACGTTGGCGAAGGCCGCTTCGCGGCCGCCGCGCTGCCGAGTCGAGCGGCCGGCTCGGCGGCGGCGGAGATCGGGGAGAGTCCACCCTCCAGGAGCTGTCCCGGGGGCACCGGGCGTCGAGGTCCTCCTGGCGCTAGGAAGTTCCTTGGAGCTGTCCGCGCTGGCCCTGGCGGCGGCGGCGGCGGCGGCGGCCTGCGGAGGGGCGCGCCGCCTCCATGGGCGGCACTGCGGCGGGAGCGGCGAGACGGGCGACCCGCGGAGGGGGGCCCTGGGGAGCGGCGAGCCCGGGGGCGGGACGGGGCAGCGCGGGGGGCGCCCGCCGAGGAAGCTCTGCCGCCATGCGGGCGCCCAAGGGGCCCGCGCACTTGGACGGCGTGCGGTGCTCCCACGTCGCCCGATGCTTCGGGCGCGACGACGAGGTCCACGCTGGCCCATGGCGAGTTACTCTGACTGCCGTCGGCTCGCCGACAGCGGTGCCTGGCGGGCCCGGCGATCGGCCTCGACCCGAATTCCACGCCCCCTGCGGGGTCGGCCCCCCCGCAGCGAAGCAATGGGCCCACTTCCCGGGCCCCCTCTGTAGGGTTGGCCCCTCTGTCGCGAAGGAGGCGGCGCGCGCGCCCGAGCGCGCCCGGGCCTGGGCCGGCGCGCTCGAAGGAGACGCTGGCCGGGACAGGCGCCCGAGCCCACCCGCGGCGCGCAGCTGCCCCCGGCTGGGGACGGGCGGACGGCCCCAGACGATCCGCAGACGCGCGCGCCCGGCGCCCGCTGTTCTGGCAGGTGCCCGACGCCGCGTTAGGCACGACAGGCGCCGGCACGGCCAGCTGCGGGGCAGCAGCGACAATCAGGAGGTCGATGCTGGCGCTGGCCCTCGCAGCCTCGTCTCGCCGCGGCGCGGCGCTGCCTCGCCGAGGCTGGGGGCGCTGCAAAGCGGCTCCGCCCTAGAGGGCGCCGCGGGGCTCCACGGCGACTGGCCGAAGGGAGCGGCGGAGGCCCACTTCGCGCGGCGGAAGGCTGCCAGACGCGGTGAGCACATCCCATGGCCAGCCAGCGTCATCGTCGCCATTTGACCGCTGCCGCCTCCTCCTCCTCCTCCTCCTCCTCCTCCTCTCCTCCTCCTCCTCCTCCTCCTCCTCCTCCGCCTCCTCCTCCTCCTCCTCCTGCTCCTCCTCGCGCATTACTGTGTGGGCTCGTGCTTTTTCCGTTAGTGTTCACTGCTGGCAGAGACAGTGTAGTTTTTTTACACGGTAGGAGTTCTCGGTATTCAGAGATGTGCGGGCTCCCTCTCTCTGCTCCTGCCCTTGCTCTTCTACCTATCTCTGTCTCTGTCTCTGCTTTTATTGTTTTTTTTTTTTTTCTCTCTCTCTCTCTCTCTCTATCTCTCTCTTTCTCTCTCTGTCTCTCTCTCTCTCTCTCTCTTTCTCTCCCCCTACGCCACTAGGGGTTCAAGTCTTTCTGCGCCAAGATGGCCCACCTTTTTCTCGGGGCCCACGGAAGACCCTACCGCCCCGTGCTTGCAGGTTTCCGCCGTCGCATCCACAATGGCGCGGCGGCGGAGGCACGCATCGCGTGGCGGAAGGATGCCAGACGCGGTGAATGCATCGAATGGCAAGCGATCGTCATCGTCGCCGTCTGACCGCTGCCGCCTCCTTGTCCTCCTCCTCCTCCTCCTCCTCCTCCTCCTCCTCCTCCTCATCCTCCTCCTCCCCCTCCTCCTCTTCCTCCTCCTCCTCCTCCTACTCCTCGAGCCTCGCTGCATAGGCCCGAGTTTTTGTTCGTTCGTGCTCAGTGCTCGTTGAGACCCTGGCTGCTTTCGGCCTCTGGCGGCCTTCGCCGGGCCCCAGGGCGGGCGAAGGACGATCCGGGATGAAAAGCCGGTCCAGGCGAAAGGGTCGGGACGTCTGGGAGCCCCGCATGCTGAGCAAAAACAGGACATCGGACGTTTCGGTTTGAGGATGGAGGGTTCAGGATCGAAGCAGGCAGAGTTTTTGTCAACATTTGCGTCGTTTGGGGGGGGGGGGGGGGCCGCGGGGAGCCCATGCCCTGGAGGAAGTGGCCCTTCCCCGAGGAAAAGGCGACCCCCGCGTGGCGACCTTGCTTGGCGCTGCCTGGGCCGAGCCCTGCATCTGCACTGCGGATCCGGGCCCTCTCGCACGGCTCGGGGTGCAACTCTTGGGAGGCTCAGGTCGACATCGGCGCTGGCTTATCCGCAGCCGGAAACCAGCGCGGCCCTGTTCAATTTCGCCCCATCCCGCGGAATGGTTCCATCTGGGGGTCCATTGGGGCGCAGGTGGCCGAGTGGCGCACTAGTCGGGCTCAGTAGCCCTTGACCGTCCAGTCGAAGATCTCCCAGGAGTTGCCTCCTTTACCCTGCGGAGGGTGCGTCTCTCGCGCGCCACTGCGCCCGCAACCGCATCCGTGGATCACAGGAGGAGGAGGAGGAGGAGGAGGAGGAGGAGGAGGAGGAGGAGGAGGAGGAGGAGGAGGAGGAGGAGGAGGAGGGAGGAGGAGGAGGAGGGGGGGGGAGGGGAGGGGGAGGGGAGAGGAGGAGGAGGAGAGGAGAGGAGGAGGAGAAGGAGGAGGAGGCGGGCCTCGCAGCACTTCGCCGCGCTGTTTTTTTTGTGTTGCTCGCTGGCATCCGCGGGGCCCGACCTCCGACGGGTCGGTCTTTCCCCAATCCGTGGGTCCCGAAGGCATCGGCCCCCTCTCCCCATCGACCCTCCTCCTCCTCCTCCTCCTCCTCCTCCTCCTCCTCCTCGATATCCCTATCCTCTTCGTTCCTGCCTCGATCACCCCACGATCTGCTTCGACATCTGTCGATCCCCGGTAGCCGCACGAGGTCTTTGATGATATGCCCCCCCCCGAACCCTCGGCTGACAATTAAGCCTTCGCCCTGCCCCTCCAGCATCCTCATCACCATCAGGCATCCTCGTGTCCCCCACGATCATCAGCGGTGGCCGCCTCGGTGGAATGGCTATTTTACCCG